TTCAACGGTGTGTGCGTGAGTGTGTGTGGGAACTTCTGAAATTATTTTTTCTGAATTGCTTTGGTTTGTGCATGGTTGAATCCATGGATATGGGACCCACAGAAATCAAGGTCTAAGTGCAATTTTTTGTCACTAAAGGTTTGTTAAAGTGGATTTTAGTATTTGATGTGTTGTAATAATCATGCTTGATTAAAATGCTTTTATTTATACTTTTAGTTAGATCTACTCATTTAGAATACCTGGGTGATAGGAAAGAGGTCCTATGCCCATGCCGTAGCAGACAGCCATTTATTTGTTTGAGTAAATTGTATGACAGCTGGCTTGCTGTGAATGGTGCACTGAACTGACTCTTTTGAATAGGAGACTGAAAGAGAAAGCCTAAAGCCTGATAGGGGATAGATAGGTAGTTGGCACTGCAGGGAGTCCTTGACTCTTTGTCATTCAGTTTAGATTGTGCTCTTAATTCTTCTATGACATTTTAAGTCTTAAGTAGATTCCGTTAATGACTAGAAAACTAAAAATAAAACCAAGAAAAGGAGGTTTGAATTGACGTGTTTGAACCGTAGCCCTCTTTTAAAAGAGCTGTGGCTAGGAGGTTCTGTCTGTCCATGTGTTCATCTTGAGGGTAAGCCTGAACTCCAATACCAGCAACACCAGACTAACAGAAGCAGAAGTAGGCAGTGAGAGCACCTCACTTCTCAGCCAACAGCAGGAGAAGTAGAGCAGGAAGGAGCCCTGGGTGGAGAGCAGACCTGGACTGGGAGAAGAACCAGGACTGCTGAGCTGCATCGAAAGTTCCAGGCCCCATCTCTGCCTCAGACCCCCCCCCCCCCCGCACACACGATCATCAGCATAAAAAATAAACACATTAAGAAAAAAAGCTGAGTGAGGTGGCTCATGCTTGTCTATCTGAGCACTCTGGAGGTGGAGACAGGATTGCAGCAAGTTCAAGGCTAGGCTGGGCTACAAAGTGAGTTCTAGGCTACCTATGAAACAGTTTGAGGCCTGTCTCAGAAACGAAAATCCAGACAGCAAAAAAAACAGACAAAACTGAGGGTGTAGGATTGTTTACCTGGGTTCCATCACCAGCAATGGAAGTCAGTAAGAAATAAAAAAGATTATGACTTTATTCCTTTTAAAACTACGCTGTGATAAACTTTCGTTTGTTTGTTTCTGTTCCGGGGACTGAGCCTAGTGTTTCTGGATGTGATCATCTTGTAAGAGAACAAGCAAGTGAATGAGTAAATGATGGTTTTGGATCCCAGGAAACAGCTAGGAGCTGTGGATTTGGGAAGATGCACTTAACTTTTCTTCTTTCCATTAAAAAGTAAATTTCAGGGGGTTGGAGAGATGGCTCAGCAGATAAGAGCACTGGCTACTTTTGCAGAAGACCTGGATTCAGTTCGTCCAGCACCTTCTGACCTCCATCAGCATTGCATTACAGGGGTACACTTGCAGACATGCAAGAAAAATACTCATAAATACATACACACAAAAAATCAAAAAACAAATTTCTTATAGTAAAAAAGAATCTGATTAATAGGTTATTACTAGTATGAGGTTTCTTAGATGTTAATTTTTTATCCCTGGTTATAGTCAATGTCTGAATATAGCCATGAACTTTAGGGAACTTTTGGTTGTCATGCCAGACTAGCAGGGTGTGGAAAAGCTGGACTGAAGCCACGTGGAGTGCTGATTGAGCTCAGTACAGTCTGCATCACAGTACTTGGTTCATTTAACTGTAGTTATATGTCCGTACCATTATGACAAGATTGTGTACTTTTTTTTTTTTTTCTGTTTTTTTGTAACCCCAGCTGGCCTGGAACTGGCTATGTAGACCAGGCTGGGCTCGAACTCAGAGATTTGCCTGCCTCTGCCTCTATACCCGCTCAGGATTGTATGCTTTGACTATAAAAGGCATTGAAGGGATGTGTTTCGATCGAATGAGGGAAGGGAACTATTTACTTGCTGCTGTTCTCGCCATTTACCCTCTGTGACAGAAAATAGCGTTGGGATAAAAATCAGCTACTTAGGGCCTGGAGAGATGGCTGAGGGGTTCAGAGGACTGGGTGCTCTTGTGCAGGTCTTAGCACCCACGGGGGGGCTAACAACCAGTTCTAGGGGATCTGATGCCCTCTGCAGCATTTAACATAGACTCAGGCTTAAAATACACACACATAAGTTGCACTTAACATACATGTGTATTTTACTCATACATAAAAATAAATTTAGAAAGTTTTAGAAAATTAAACAGTATACAGGGAACGGGAGATGTTTTCACGAAGGGCCTGGTAATTCCCTGAGTGTACGTGGGGATGAGTGCTTTTATTACTGTCACGTTTGAGCTGCACTGAGAAGGCCAAGCAAGGAGGAGGTGGGAGAGGTGGGAGAGGTGTGTATGGGCAACAGCAGCAGGCTGTGTTAGTGTGGTGCTTAGCTAGGCGTTTCACCAGGAAAATTGATCACAGTCTATTTTGTTGGCACTTGTTGGAAGGTCTTGTGTTGTGCAGGACTGGGTATTGATTGTGGACCTTGCACATGTTGGTCAAGCACTCTCCCACTGAGCTACATCTCCATTTCTAGACATTGTAGTTTTTACTTTTTAAGTAATGGGGAATTTTTGAAAGTTTCTTGCCAGTTCTAAAAATAATGGCTTTTTTTTTTTTTTTTTTTTTTTGAGAATCATAGCTGAAGTTTAATTAAAACTCCAGAGACATTTTCCAGGTCTGCTGGCCTGTGTCTTTAGTCCCAGCACTCAGGAGGCAGAGGTGGGCGAATCTTTGTGAGTTCAAGGCCAGCCTGGTCTACATAGTGAGTTCCAGGACAGCTGGAGCTACACGGAGACCCTGTCACAGAACGGAACGGAGGAAAGGGAAGGGGAAGGGGAAGGAAAGGAAAAAGGAAAGACTTGTTTTCTCATGATACATTCATCTGAACTAAAACAAAAGGGAGAAGGGTACAGTATGTATTTAAGAGTACGTTTCACTTTTTCAAAGGAGTTTAATAATTAACTTTACATTTATTACTAGGCCATGGGGTGCCCAGACATTTGCTTAAACATTATTTTGGATATTTCCTTGAGAGTATGTTTGGAAAAAAATTACATTTAAATCTACTGACCAGGGAATATAGTCCTCCATCTTGTGGGTGGACTTCTTTAAATTTCAGA